TGGGAGAAGATATTTGCAAATGACCTATCAGATAAAGGGCTAGAATACCATATCTATAAATAACTTATCAAACTTAAACCCAAAAACCAAAATTCCAGTCAAAAAATGGGCAGAAGAACAGACATTTCTCCAAAGAAGAGATACAAATGGCTAACAGACACAAGAAAATATGCTCACCATTACTCATCATCAAGGAAATACAAATCAAAACCTAAATGAGATACCACTTCACACAGGTCAGAATGGCAAAAAGGAACAACACAGGAAACAACAGATGTTGGAGAGGATGCAGAGAAAGCAGAACCCTCCTACACTGTTGATGGGAATGCAAACTAGTGCAGCCACTCTGGAAAACAGTATGGAGGTTCCTCCAAAAGTTAAAAATAGAACTACCCTATCATTTATTTTTTTTAAAGATTTTATTTATTTGAGAGAGAGAGACACAGTGAGAGAGGGAACACAAGCAGGCGGAGTGGGGAAGGGAGAAGCAGGCTTCCCGTGGAGCAGGGAGCCCGATGTGGGGCTTGATCCCAGGACCCTGGGATCATGACCTGAGCCGAAGGCAGATGCTTAACGACTGAGCCACCCAGGAGCCCCTACCCTATCAAACATTTAAAGAAGAGTTAATACCTATTCTTCTCAAACTATTCCAAAAACAGAAATGGAAGGAAAACTTCAAAATTCATTCTATTCATTACCCTGATACCAAAACCTGACGACTCCACTAAAAAGGAGAACTACAGGCCAACATCCTGATGAACATGGATGCAAAAATTCTCAATAAAATATAAGCAAATTGAATCAAACAGTACACTAAAAGAATCATTCACCATGATCAAGTGGGATTTATGCCTAGGCTGCAAGGGTGGTCCAATATTTGCAAATCAATCAACGTGATAGACCACATTAAAAAAGAAAGGATAAGAACCATATGATCCTTTCAATAAATGTAGAAAAAGCACTTGACAAAGTACAACATCCATTAATGATAAAAATCCTCCATAAAGTAGGTTTAGAGGAAACATACCTCAACACAGTAATAGCCATATATGAAAAACCCAGAGCTAGTATCATCCTCAATAAGGAAAAACTGAGAGCTTCTCCTCTATGGTCAGGAACAAGACAGGGATATCCACTCTCACCACTGTTGTCCAACATAGTACTGGAATTCCTAGCCTCAGCAATTGACAACAAAAAGAAATAAAAGGCATCCAAATCAGCAACGAAGAAGTCAAACCTTTCACTATTTGCAGATGACATGGTACTCTATACGGAAAACCCAAAAGACTCCACCAAAAAGTTCCTAGAACTAATACACAAATTCAGGAAAGTCGCAGGGTAACAAATCAACATACAGAAATCTGCTGCATTTTTATATACCAATAATGAAGGAGGAGAAAGAGAAATCAAGGAATCCACCCCAGTTATAACTGCACCAAAAACCCTAAGATCCCTAGGAATAACCCTAAACAAAGACGGACTCTGAAAACTATAAAACGCTGATGAAAGAAATTGAAGCTGACAAGAAATGGAAAAACATTCCATACTCATGGATTGAAAAAACAAATACTGTTAAAATGTCTATATTACCCAAAGTAATTACACATTTAAATGCAATTCCTATCAAAATACTACCAGCATTTTTCACAGAGCTAGAACAAACAATCCTAAAATTTGTATGCAACACAAAAGACCCCAGATAGCCAAAGCAATCTTGAAAAAGAAAAGCAAAAGCTGGAGGCACCACAATTCCAGAATTCTAGTTCTATTACAAAGTTGTAGTGATCAAGACAGTATGGTACTGGCACAAAAACAGACACATAGATCCATGGAACAGAACAGAAATTCCAGAAATGAACCCAAAAATGTATGGTCAATTAATCTTCAACAAAGCAGGAAAGAATATCCAACTGAAAAAAAAAAAAACAAAAACAATCTCTTCAACAAATGCTATTGGGAAAACTGGAGAGCAACATGCAAAAGAATCAAACTGGACCACTCTCTTACACCATATACAAACACAAATTCAAAATGGATTAAAGACCTAAATGTGAGACCATAAAAATCTTGGTGGAGATCATAGGCAGTAACTTCTTTGACATGGGCCACAGCAACTTCATACTAGATATGTCTCCTGAAGCAACTTCATACTAGATATGTCTCCTGAGGCAAGGGAAACAAAAGCAAAAATAAACTACTAGGACTTCATTAAAATAAAAAGCTTCTGCACAGAGAAGAAAACAATCAACAAAACTAAAAAGCAACCAACAGAATGGGAGAAGATATTTGCAAAGGACATATCTGATAAAGGGTTAGTATCCTGTATCTATAAAGAACTTAAAAATTCAACATCCAAAAACCAAATAATCCAGTTAAAAATGGGCAGAAGACATGAATAGACATTTTTCCAAAAAAGATATCCAGATGGCCAACAGACATGAAATGATGCTCAACATCATGCATCATCAGGGAAAATACAAATCAAAACTACAACGAGATATCACCTCACACCTGTCAGAATGGCTAAAATTAACAACACAGGAAACAACAGGTGTTGGTGGGGATGTGGAGAAAGGAGAACCCTCTTACCTGTTGGTGGTGTAACCACTGTGGAAGACAGTATGGAGGTTCCTCCAAAAGTTAAAAATAGGACTACCCTACAATCTAGCAATTGCACTAACAGATATTTACCCAAAGGAAACAAAAATACTAATTTGAAGGGATACATGCACCCTGATGTTTATTGCATCATTATATTATAACCAAATTATGGAAAGAGCCCAGATGCCCTCTGACAGATGAATGGATAAAGATGTGGTATACATATACAATGGAATATTATTCAGCCATAAAAAAGAAATGAAATCTTGCCATTTGCAACAAAGTGGATGGAGCTAAAGAGTATTATGCTAGGGCGCCTGGGTGGCTCAGTTGGTTAAGCGACTGCCTTCAGCTCAGGTCATGATCCTGGAGTCCCGGGATCAAGTCCCACATCGGGCTTTCTGCTCAGGAGGGAGTCTCCTTCTCCCTCTGACCCTCTTCCCTCTCGTGCTTTCTATCTCTCATTCTCTCTCTCTCTCAAATAAATAAATAAAATCTTAAAAAAAAGAGTATTATGCTAAGTGAAATAAGTCAGAGAAAGACAAATGCCATATAATTTCACTCGTATGTGGAATTTAAGAAACAAAACAAACAAACATGGGGGAGAAAAAAGAGAGAGGAAAATCTAGAAACAGACTCAAGTATAGAAAACAAACTGATGGTTATAGGAGGGGAGATGGGCGGGGTGGGGGGATGGGTTAAATAGGAGATGGGGATTAAGGAATACAGTTGTAATGAGCACCTGGTGTTGTTTATAAATGTTGAATCAGTAAATTCTACACCTGAAACTAAAAAAAGACAAAAACAAACAAAAATCACAACATTTTTACAATTTCCTTTTTTTATTATAGAATTGACCAAGCTGATTCTAACAGTGGAAATGCAAAAGGGCCAAGACAGTCCTAATAATTAAAAAATAACGTAAGGGATAGTAATAGACACCAAGAATTATTGTAAAGCTTTGAGAATTAAGGTAGGAGATAGAAAAAGTGACCAATGGACCAGAAAATGGAGCCTACAAACAACCATGCATACATGGAAGCTTCATTTATATCAGAAAATTTTATAGATTAGTAGGAAAAAAACTGATGCCTCAATAAGTGTGTTAGAACAGGGTATCCACGGGAGAAAAAAATGAAATTGGATTCCTACTTCAACCAATACAATGAAATAAATTCTAGGTAGATAAAGACTTTACTATTAAAAAAAAAAACTGCATTTTTTTCTCCATCCTTCCTTTATTCAGCCAGCATATAGTACATCGTAAGTTTTTGATGTAGTGTTCAATGATTCATTAGTTGCGCATAACACCTAGTGCTCATCAGAACACGTGCCCTCCCTAACTACAACATTTTGAAGAATATCTTATGACTCCAGGGAGGAAGGGATTTCATAAACAAGATCAAAAAGCACAAATCACAAAGTCTGTTCAGTTTTACTACACTGCAATCAAGAATTATATTAATCAGGTGCGGGAGTGGTTAAGTAGGTGATGGGGATTACAGAGGGCACTTCTGGTGATGAGCACCAAGTGTTGTAGGGAAGTGCTGAATCACTAGATTGTACACCTGGAACTATTAATTAAAAGCCATCATAGAGTAAAAAGGCAAGCCATAACCTACAAAAATATTTGCAACAAATGTTATCTGACAAAGAATTGGTATCTAGTAAAGATAATTCCCAAATATCAAGAAGAAAATATTCCAGTAGAGAAATGAACAAAAAACTTAAATAGGCACTTTACATTAAAAAAACTTGAGTAGTTGGTAAGTATGAGCAAAGTTGCTCAACCTTATTATTAATCTTGGCCAACTAGAAAAGCATATTAAAACCACAAAGAGCTATCTTTTCACAACGACTAAATTTGCCACAATTAAAAGGTCAGAAAATATCACATCAGCAAGGTGTACAGCAACCAAAAGTGACTTCAACTTAGCCAATTAAATGTTTTTTCCTGAATCTTTGAATCTTAAACAAGTGATTTCAAAATGTAGGGATGGCTGAATGTCATTTATCATAATCAGAGTGGCAATATGCTGACCTGACTGGTTCCATCAAAAGGCCACCACTGTGCCCTTGTGACCTAGCCTTTGACACCTGACCATTTCCAAGCCTGTTCCTCTATCACTTATATTCCCAATATTTTCCAAAAACTCTTTGCTTAAGCTAGCCAGTATCAAATTCTGTTTCCTGCAATCAAAAAATCTTGAAATATCGTTTCCCAGTGGGAAGATTCAAAAGGTTTCTATTTTAAGTACAATGACATAATTCTTGGAAATCGTGACTATTTCTTTAAAAATCTACATGACAGCAAATGGCTTTATTTTTAGACGTGATTTGAATATCCACTCATTACAGCGGGTTCATCAGGATCAAAATCGTGATAGCAAATGAGGTACCTAGCTCTTTCTCGGGCAGCATCCTCACGGGCTTTCTCCTTTTCTTGCCTCTGTTGTTCAATTCGGGCTTCTTGTTCTTTCCTTCTCATCAACAGTTCTTCTACACGAGCCTGCCGTTCTGCCTCTAGAGCTCTCTTGCGTTCCTACAGTCAGAAAAGTTTTAAAGTGTTAGAATTATGTGTAAAGTGAAAATGATTAAAGGTGGCACCATTTTGACATAAATTTATATATTCAAGCCAAGTAGATCCCTCGCTGGCTACTAGGTATACTTCTCAGAATTTAAAAAAAATAAATAAATAGCAGTGATATGTGGTTTTCATATGTCATTTACCAGTATTACACATAATTATAAGAATAAATGCGCTTTGAAGCAGAAACTATGTTATTCACATTCTCTGAGAACCTAACATATATTTTATGGTTAATCACTTCTAAAGCCTGGTGTTTACAAAGGGTTTCAGAAATGCTAGAACATGATGAAGTAAACAAATTTCTGAACTAAGCATTCATGAAGAAGTTAAGTGGAGAAAGAAAAAAAAAAAAAAACTTGTGGCAAGGAAAAAGAGACATCATAATACAGCACCGTGGGTAAGAGAGTGGGCACTGGGTCAGACTCCCTGATTTTGTCTCATGACCCTATTATTCACTGGATCAGGGACTCTGGTCTAGGTATATTATAACTGTGCCTTTGTTTTCTGGAAGACAAATAACAATAGTACTAATGTCTTCAGAAATTGTGAAGAACAGATGAGATAATACACAAAAAATACTTACCAGAGGCCCTGGCATATAGAAAATTTTCAGTAATTATTTATCATCATCAAGGCAGAAGATAATCAAAATACTGTGAAATACTATGTCCTATGTATACTTTTGCCTACTAGGAGTACTTTGCTAACTCTCACCATATTACTAGCTGTACTGATAGATTTTATTTTCATATGCACATAGTTTTATTTTTTCTGTTTGGCATTTTATATACAGTTTTTATATAAGGATAATTTTTGTTATATAATTAAGAAAAAATTTCAATCATGTTTTTAGAGATTTTGTTTCCATCATGGCTCCTAATACTTTTGTTCTGTTTCGTTAAAATCAAATGTTGACATTTTTATCTTATCTTCAATGTCTTTCAATATCTTTTTCAACATTCAACTTATCAACCTCCATATTTACAAATACAGAATTATGGGTAAATTTCAAGACTATCTTGAAATCATTATGCTTTCTTCATGGAAAGTATATATATTATTACATCTTCATTTTCTCTTAGTGACATTATTTTTCATTTCTATTATTTTTTTTAAATTTGTATTTTAGGGACACGTGGGTGGTTCCGTCGCTAAGCGTCTGCCTTCGGCTCAGGTCATGATCCCAGGGTCCTGGGATCAAGCGCCGCCATCAGGCTCCCTGCTTTGCAGGAAAACTGCTTCTCCCTCTCCCATTCCCCCTGCTTGTGTTCCCTCTCTCACTGTGTCTCTCTCTGTCAAATAAATAAATAAAATCTTAAAAAAATAAAATAAAATTTGTATTTTAATTACCCGGTGCTCTACACAAGTGCACTCCTTAATCCCCCCCACCCCACTTCCCCTCTGGTATCCATCAGTTTGTTATCAATGTTAGGTCTGTTTCTTGGTTTGTCTCTCTTTTCTTTTCCTTGTGCCTTTGTTTCTTAAATTCCACATGAGTGAAATCATACAGTGTCTTTCTCTTACTTATTTCACTTAGCATTATACCATCTAGCTCCATTCGTGTCAGTGCAAAGAGCAAGATTTCATTCTTTGTTATGGCTGAATAATATTCCGTTTTATGTATATAGACCGCATCTTCTTTTTCCACTCAACAGTCAATGGACACTTGGGATATTTCCATATCTTGGCTATTTGCAAAGAATGCTGCTATAAGCATAAGGGTGCTTGTATCCTTTTGAAATAGTGTTTTTGTATTTTGGGGGTAAATACCCAATAGTGCCATTGCTGGATCAGAGGGTAGTTCCATTTTTAACTTTTTAAAATTTTTTTTAGAGAGAGAGCATGAGCGTGAGTGGGGAAGGAGGGGGAGAAGGAGAGAGATTCTTAAGTAGGCTACATGCCCAGCATGGAGCCTGACGCAGGGCTCGATCTCACGACCCTGAGATCATGAAATTGAGAGTCAGATGCTTAACAGACTGAGCCACCCAGGCGCCCCCATTTTTAACTTTTGGAAGAATCTCCATACTATTTTCCAGAATGGCTGTACCAGTTTGCATTGCCACCAACAGTGCAAGAGGGTTCCTTTTTCTCCACATCCTCACCAACATCTGTTGTTTCTTGTGTTGTTGATTTTAGCCATTCTGACAGTTACGAGGTGATATCTTATTGTAGTTTTGATTTATATTTTCCTGACAATGAGTGATGATGAACATATTTTCATGTGTCTGTTAGCCATCTGGATGTTCATGTCTTCTGCTCATATACTAATTATTTGTTTTTTGGGTGTTGAGTTTTATAAGTTCTTTATATATACTGGATATTAACCCTTCGTGGATATGTCATTTGCAAGTATCTTCTCCCATTCCATAGGTTGTCAATACAGATTTTTTTTTAACAGCAAAGAAATCTGAATTTAAGAGAAAATTCTTTTATTTATATTTTCTTCATTGGAGATGATTTTCTGTGCCAGATTTATTTTCAGTCTTAAAAGAGTTTTTGAGATCTTAGATAGCGACACAAGTTTTTACACATTATGCTTACCTGGTACTGTGAAATAACTGTAACCAGTTTGTGAATAGTATATCTGACACAAAGAATATATTTAAAAACCTAAATGCATGCCTCCAGCAGTCTGTAATCTGCCACTCATGCTTTCCTGAAATCAGTGTATTCCCCCTAATTCCCAGCCCCTTCCTGCCCTGTACTCCCCGCCAAAAAAAAAAACCCCAAAACAAAAATAATGTAGGGACTTTTAACTTACTAGTTTAAAAAGATTTTCTTCCACTGGGATAGATACGGCTTGTTGTAGGTATGAAGTTACTGTAGTCAGTGTAATTAAGTATGAGAGGTATTCACATGTCTCCTCAGTGTTCTCTAAACAGGAACTGCTTTAGTATTTTTTTTTCTGTCATTTATTGGGCACTTTCTCTGCTAAACACTTTGCTAAGTCCTTACTTATATTAGTAATTTTGATATCACAACAAACTGGGGCGCTCTAAGGCAAAATGACTTGCACAAGGCTATATAAGTAGTAGTTAGAAGAACCTAAATCAGTGTATTCCATTAATCATAAAGACTAACGGCCAGGGAGAGGTTGTGTGAGCTACCTGGGGAATGGGGGTGATTTGAAAAAAAACATATCAATACAATCAAAAACATAAGAAACAACAGGTGTCAGCGAGGATGTGGAGAAAAAGGAACCCTCCCTCTTGCACTGCTGGTGGGAATGTAAACTGGTACAGCCATTCTGGAAAACAGTATGAAGGTTCCTAAAAAGTTAAAAATAGAATTACCCTCTGATCCAGCAATGGCACTATTGGGTATTTACTCCCAAAATACAAAAACACCATGCACCCCTATGTTTATAGCAGCATTCTTTACAATAGCCAAGAAATGGAAGCAGCCCAAGTATCCACTGAATGATGAGTGGATGAAGAAGATATGGTGTGTACACACAAATACGTACACACACACACAAATGGAATATTATTCTGTCATGAAAAGGAATGAAATCCTGCCATTTACAATGACATGGATAGAGCTAGAAAGTATAATGCTAAGTGAAATAAGTCAGTCAGAGAAAGAGAAATACCACGTGATTTCATTCATATGTGGGACAAAAGACACAAAACAAACTGTTATCTATCCAAATGAAGAAAACAAATGCACAAAATGCAGAGTGGAGGTAGGAAGTAACAAAAGAACTTGATTGTTGGATATTATTAGAATTTACTCCTATAAATTCTATTCTGCTTTTTTTTATTATATTATGTTAATCACCATACATTACATCATTAGTTTTTGATGTAGTGTTCCATGATTCATTGTTTGCGTATAACACCCAGTGCTCCATGCAGAAAGTGCCCTCTTTAATACCCATCACCAGGCTAACCCATCCCCCCACCCCCCTCCCCTCTAGAACCCTCAGTTTGTTTCTCAGAGTCCATAGTCTCTCATGGTTCATCTCCCCCTCCGATTCCCCCCCCTTCATTTTTCTCTTCCTGCTATCTTTTTTTTTAAGTTTTAATGGATTAAGATGGTAAGTATTATCAAAAAGGAGAAAGCAATTTAAGTAAGAAAAGAATAGAAAGTAATAAAGGAAAAGGAGAGGAATATCATTCCACTTGGAGTTAAATATGAACCACAAATCTCCCTCATCCTCCATTTGTAGGTTTTATACCCAATGCCCTTTCAAATGACCTGTGCTTTTCTATAAATATTGTTAGTCCCACATCACTTGTGTTCTTGCTCTCTACTCATAATATTAATGCAATTGGGAAATCCTGTTTATCTCACTTTAATAAAAATATATTGCCAAATGGTAGGGAAACACTGCTCAGAATGTTGTAATCTGCTGTCTAGTGGTGGGGTTGTAAATAAATTATACTGGGAAATTTGAAAAAACAAACAAACCAAAAAAAAAAAACAAATGTTCAAAGGAAAAAGAAAGAGAGAGAGAGAGAAACCAAGAAACAGACTCTTAACTATAGAGAACCAACTGATGGTTACCAGAGGGGATAGGTGGGTTACCAGTGTGGGGAGGGGGGAATGGGTGAAATAGGTGGTGGGGATTAAGGAGTGCACTTATGATGAGCACTGGGTGATATATGAAATTGCTGAATCACTACATTGTACACCTGAAACTAATAAAAGCTTAAAAAAATCTGTATATGTCTGAAAACACATTTCACAATAAAATGCAAAAGGCTTAGGCATTAAATATAAATAATTAAACCAGAACTTTTCACTTCATATTTTGTAAAACCAAAAGCTTTAAAAATATACTTTCTCCTACGCCATTTTGGGCTTTGCCCTCTCGGAGGCCATGGGGCTCTTTTGCCTGATGGTGGCCTTTCTCATCCTCTTCGCCATGTGAAGGAGCCGTCTCCACCTCCCATAGGTCTTTCTCCCGTGTCTTGTCTGCCCTGTATGTTCCTTTTCCTATACCTCCCCAGGCAGCCTGGGGAAAGTGGTTGGCTCAGGGTTTGACAAAGGGAAGACAAATAAATACTGTATTATTAAGGAAAAAAATATATATATACTTTCAAAAATTATAAAATGGTCTTATAAATAAAATATATGTGTATATATACTTTATGTGTTGTGCATTGCAGCCAACTTGACTCTGTAAATATAATGTCAACTTGCTGATTTTATTCATGTGTATAAGACAAACTCCAAACAGAAATAACGGGACTTCAAACAATAGTCAATCTTTTAATTTTTGTTTTTAATTAATGGAAAAAGATAACTGGTAACTACAGCTAATGAATAAAATTGGTAAGTTCAGCTAGTATTTTCCTTTCTAAAATTTAAGTTTCCTAAATAAAAGAAACTTGATACTTCATATAAGCATCTCACACAGGAGTTCCATAAATATCTGTTAAATGAAGCATAACTTTATAAAATAATATGCATTATAAATCTATATACATACAAATAATGAATTAGAAAGATACCTAATTCTTAAGCCTTCTGAAACCTCCGAAACCCCCATATACTTTGTTTCATAGTCAGGGATTTGTTTACGGCAGCCTAAGAACGGATAATACAAATCCCTACCCTTTTAGGCCTACAATTCAGATTACGGAAAAAGGACAGGCAGAATATCCAAGGAAACTGAACTTAAAACTAACCAATAATTTACATAAGAAAAATGGCAAATTGAGAATACATGATGACAGCATTTACTTAGTATTTTACTTACAAGAAAGAAGGATCACAATTGCCTATAATAGTTGATGGGAATGTTAAAATGTAAAAGTAGTGAAAGTAAAGCAGACAGAGGATCTTACTGTTATTTTATCTACAGAATGTGTGGCATTAGTGTCTTGCACATCCAGTAATGACTACACATTAAAAAAATTTTAATTATATATATGCTATACATTACCAGTGGACTTTTCCAACATCATATAGGTCAATCAAACATGATAGGTTTTATTTTTTTTTAAAGATTTTATTTATTTATTTAATAGAGAGAGAGAGAGAGAGAGAGACAGCATGAGAAGGAACACAAGCAGGGGGAGTGGGAGAGGGAGAAGCAGGCTTCTGGCTGAGCAGGGAGCCCGATGCACGGCTTGATCCCAGGACCCAGGGATCATGACCTGAGCTGAAGGCAGTCACTTAACCAACTGAGCCACCCAGGCACCCCGAACATGATAGGTTTTAAATTTTACATTGAAAATTAAATCCATAGAAAATTTCCATATTTTTAATAAAAAATAATTCTGAACAGTCAAAACAATTTTTAAAGTATTAGTGAGTATAGGAAATCCCTACTTTCAAGAAAGAACTGCTTTCCTCTCAGCTTTAATAAATGTTCCAATTTACCAAACAAGAGTCATCATTTTTAAATGGTATAACTACTATATTTCAAATCTTCAGATCTACAAAATGAATCCAAAAAAAGGAACCAAACACTTCTATTCAAAATATACAGTATTACTCATATATTTCCCCCTAAAACCCAGCTAAAGTTACCTCTTCCAGACAACTTTACCTGACAATCCCCTCCTACCAACAAAGTTAATTATTCCCTCTGCTGTGATACCTCTGTAGCTTATACATAGTTCTACAACACTTTCACACTGTGTTGTATTGTTTACCATAAAGGATCATGTCTTAATTATCTCTGAATTATTAATGCCTAACGGTTCCTCAAAAGTAACACATAATTTACAAAATGTAATGATTTTTATAAAATGGTCCCAAGCAGAGTAACAGCGCTAATGCTGAAGAGACATCTCATATTAAAATTTCAAATATCCTATTTTATTTACTCATTTAAGAGTATCAGTTAATAGAAAAATAATTTATAAATAATAAATAAAAATTTTTGCTGCTCTTTAGAGAAGAAAAGTGGAAGTTTTTCAAATAAAATCATTCTGTTTTTAACATAAGTTAGCTTAGACTCAGATTTAAATAAGACGAACTCAAATCAAACAGAGATCAGGGATGAATGTGGAAATGCCTGCCAATACCCACAATTAGCAAAGAATAATCAACAAACTTTAAAAATGTATTGCTGGGGTGCCTGGGTGGCTCAGTCGTTGGGCGTCCGCCTTCAGCTCAGGTCATGATCCCAGGGTCCTGGGATAGAGTCCCACATGGGGCTCCCTGCTCAGTAGAAAGCCTGCTTCTCCCTCTCCCACTCCCCCTGCTTGTGTTCCCTCTCTCGCTGTGTCTCTCTCTCTCAAATAAATAAATCTTTAAAAAAATAATTTAAAAATGTATTGCAATTTTTAACTTCCTAAAACTACCAGTAACATAAAGAAGCATGAAATATGGATAACATCCCCAATTTTTAACATAACAAAGCCCTGCGGGACCTGTTCCCTAACACTATAGGGTAGTACTCTCCCATATCTCCTGCATGGAATGCCTATTTCTCATCATTTGCATCTGTCTCATTGTTAGCTTAGCTGAGCTATCACCTCTTCTAGGAAGCTTTCCCTGGATTTTTCATGTCCTTGCCACTCTCAATTTGAATACGGTGTTTTCCTTTGTGCTTCCAAGAATACCTTTCCTGTTATACTGATTCTAATGGATTATGATTTGTTTACATGTCTCTCCATTGAGAACAGCGATGTATCCTTTTCATGTCCTTGAGCCTAGCACAGCATACGGCTTATAGTAGTAACACAATAAATGATCACTGAATGAGTGAACAAATAAATATTGGCCATAACAAAGTATATCTGCATTTATACATGAATACTGCAAAATTTGTTCTCTACATCAAAAATGTCAAGTCCTTTTTTCCAGCCTGTGCAAGAGGTTTTCTCCTCCTCTTCCCAAGGAGAAGTGCCTTGTCTTTGAAGACGCTCCTAACAGCGTGGAGGCGGCCCTTGCAGCTGGCATGCAGATAGTCAAGGTTCCAGATGGAAACTTGCACCAATACTTGACATCAAAGGCCACCCTGGTGCTGGATTCCCCGCTGGACTTCCAGCCCAAGCTTTCAGTTTGCCGCCCTGCGAGTGAACAGCCCGCCACACCTCTCTGGGCGTCAAGGCCACTGCACCCACTCTGGTGACTCATGCCACCCAGAAAAATCACCACCTGAGTATTCCTTCCAGCCCATGAGGTCGGCCTTCGCATTCCATGTGGGCTTGGCCTACTCTGGCTAGTGCTGGAAATCACGACACAGTTGAGAGACAGCAAAGCAGAAACAGTCCAGAACAGAGATCAAAACACTCATTCACATAATCATAAACAGTATGTGAACGATCATACAATTTCATTACATTTGAATCATGTAAGACTCATACAGCAAATACACACACATACATATACACGGCTGTATATGAGTACTTGTGCATGTATGTATATATATGTGTGTACTTATACATGCACATGTATGTGTAAAATACTTCCTTTTCCAAGACAAAGTGAAATTATATTTGTGTCCATTTCTTTTCCTTTTTAGTTTTTCTAAACCCTGGCTATAAAAGGTCAAATGCTCGCACGTGTGTGTGTATGCTTATATATATGTATATGCTTATGTGTGTATGAAGATATATGTCATATTTCCTATACTACTTCACTCTTTTAAGTGTTGGTCTTAATTGTTCCATAGCAACTGATAAAAGAGATGGTAACTGTATTTAGTTTGCAATCTGAGTAGTAAAACCAAGTCATGGATGATCCCTGAGAAATCATCCTCTTTCTTAGCAAAACTGAGTAATTCTGTGGCCTCAAAATCTCTGTGGACCTCTACTCAAAAGCAAACTCGGAGCTGTACCATCTTTTCAGTGTGAACAAACTATAGCTTGTATTTTACATCTAAGTGCATGTCCACATTTGAGGATGTTTTCTACCTCAAAAAAATCATCCCCCTCTTCTGAAAACATGTATTTTTCTAATATAGTCTTTGATACAAATATAATTTGAATTCAGAATGCATACTTGATATGACTGAGAGCCTTAGCACATTTTTGGGATAATTTACCAGACATTACACTTTGGCAATGGACCCCTTTTAGTAAATTTACTCAGCCCTTTGTGATGGGAAAACTGAGAAAGCACTGAATATGGGAAAGACATAATCACAGGGAGCACCCTGTCTGCTGGTTTGTCACTGATTGTCACTGAGCTAATTTTCAACTGGAGTTGTAAGAAAATGATGGTGATGTATATGATTGTGGGGAGGGCTGGTTGTCTGCTGATGGTTGCCTCTGACTGTTGGAACAGTTTTGCATCTGTTCAACAAATTCATTTCAGCATTACTGATTGCCTGTGTATGGGTCTATTCTTTAAATTCTCCCTCAAACTGGTTATACATCTTACTGAATCTTTCATCAATTAATTGAATTGAATAAAATCTTTGACATCAGTTAAAAAAAATGTCAAGTCCTTAAAGAGTCTTATGGGCAAGACTTTCTACTGAAGATCTAAAATAGTTTATAAATATCAGTACAATTTATGTGTTAACCTTTCTTCCTATCCTGAAACGGTAGCTAAATTAGGGTTTACTACAGAGGACAAAAGCTGAGCAATTAAAGTATCCAATGATACTGTTCAATAAAGGACAGGTGTTCCTTGTCATAAGCATAAAGACTGCCCAAATCTGTAAGGCTCCATATACTGGTTCAAAAACAATCCTTTTTCAAGTGGAAAAGCAGCAGCATATTCTTACAAAACCCAATTAGCAAAAAATAAATAATAATCTGTCCAAAGCAACTTAGTCTTTCACCTGGTTGAGACTAGAGATTCAAACTCTATGACTATGTGTTGATGAAAACACTGATTATCTTATCTGAAGGAGTACACATTGTCTTTTAGCAATCACACTTCATGTTTCCAGAGTGCTAGAGTAAACCATGCACCCTGGGGTCAGAGACTAGCTTTTAATCCTTTTTGGATCCTCAGCACATAGCTCAGAGCCTAGGATATGGCAGGTGCTCAATAACTGCTTGCCAAATAAAATTCTACCTGAACAGCTTCATCACGTGCTTGTTTTTCTTCCTGTCTTCGCTGACGTTCTTCCTGTAACTCATTAAGCCTCTGCTCATATTCCTTCAATTTTGATAAGACATCATGGCGCTTATTCTGGGCTTCAAGGGTATTTATGAAGGCAATTTCATTTACCTTCGATAAAAACAAAGAGAGTGAGTATCAAATCAAGTTAATTCTAAGACACACAACAAAAATAAGAAACCTAACAGAGTCTCTGATAGTAATATATACTACAAATAAGGCATAAAACAAAATGGGTCTTTTCTTTTAAAATTTGCCTCAAAAATGGATAGTAACCCAGTGTATATAAGAAACCCACAGGCATCAGAATTGATTTAGAATAAATATTTTAGTGGCAGATCTTAAGTCAAGAAACAAATTATTACAAAAACATCTTATAAAGTTCTACTTAATTCATTACAATTTGCAATTATATAAATTACATTAAGATTTAAATAGGTACATATATGTTATTCTAATGAATTTGGGAAAACTTAAAATAAGCAACAAATCATTTTTCTTCAATGTATACCAAATAAGTGACAAGTAGGAACAAGGTAGTGAAATATCTATGACATCCTCAACTTCGCATATATTGATACTTACCAGCCAAGTTTCGCTAGAAAGCATAGCTCTTATAAGTAAAGTTTAGCTAAAGGTAAAGCTGGAAAAATTCAGTTGGGATCAAATTTCTCATTTTTGAAAGCCAGAGGGAAGGCATGCTACAGTGAAAAGGGAATAGACTAAAACAGGAAAGTAAACATGGGGACTGACTCTGACAGAAGTACAGACTCCAGGAATCCATGCTGGTGGAATAAAACCTATCACTAGATATGTTAAAAATCTCAGACAAGAGAGTTTGAATATAATTCTAACAAAGATTTCCCAATCACCTTGCCACATGGCCACTTTTTTAAGTAGGATAATAACATAACCATCCTTCAAACTATACTGAAAGTATAAGAAACACCTGTACTCAAGGAAAATGAATCATACTACATCAGGGCTCACATGTTAAGCATAATCAAAATGAAAGAAAAAGGAATGGGACTTAATGCTCTAGACAAAATAAATAAGTAAACTAAAGTTAGAAGAGTGTGCAAAAGTTGGGTAAAAATTTCAAACTGTGATGTTGGTCAAAGGGTGCAAAGTTTCAATTATGCAAGATGAATAAGTTTTAGAGATGTACAGCATGGTGATGACACTTAACAATACTTGAAATTTGCTAAGAAGATAGAGCTTCAATTTTCTCAGCACATATGCAAACACACAAATGGTAATTAAGTAGAGGTGAAAGATGTTAATTAGCTGGGCTGTGATCATTCCACAATGTATACGTATATTAAAACATCATGCTGTAAACCTTAATATATGCAATTTTGACATGTCAATGATATCTCAATAAAGCTAAAAATAAATAGATCAGAAGTTAACAGGAAAATAAAAAACCCAATCTGGAAGAAAACATAACCCAAGGAAAATCAGAAAACTCCCTCAGCAAACTTTGTAATACAAAAGAAGTTAACAAAAACCTGAATTTAATAGTGCAAAAATATGGTAACAGAACAAAACAATAAAAGATTAGAAAGCTAAGGAAACAAAGTGAGGACAAAAGTAACACTATCACTGAATTAGAAAAAGCCTGGGGTAAATAAAGATGGCAAAAAAATCAAATCACTAATAGAGGCAAGTCTTATGATAAGTTAATGTAGAACTTAAAAATGAAAATTTACATATAAGTAATAAGCTCTGACTATAATGAACAAGTCATTATGGCCAAATATAAGGATGAATAACATCTATAGTTAAGAAGGACAAGGGGCACGTGGGTGGTTCAGTCAGTTAAGCTTTGGACTCTTGGTTTGGAGCTCAGGTCATGATCTCAGGGTCCTGGGATTGAGACCTGCCTCCAGCTCCAGGTTCCACACTCAGCATGGAGCCTGCTTGTCTCTCTCCACACCGCACACCACCCCCCACTCTTCCCCCCACTCGTGTGCACTCTCTCATAAATGAATGAATGAATGAATGAATGAATGAATAAATAAAATCTTGGAAAAAAAGACAAAATATTCTAACATATAATACGGAAAATTTTCCATGGAAAAAAAAAAGAAAGCAAATTGAAAACTGAAAGAGCACATGTTATTTCATGAAAAAATGTTCAGAAGATCAATACCAAGAATATCCTTATTAAATCTTATTAAATTACAAAACACTAAGGAAGAAGAATAATTTTTTTAAAGATTTTTATTTATTTATTTGACAGAGAGACACACAGTGAAAGAGGGAACACAAGCAGAGGGGGAGGGAGTGGGAGAAGGCTTCCTGCCGAGCAGGGAGCCCGATGAGGGACTCGATCCCAGGACCCTGGGATCATGACCTGAGCTGAAGGCAGACGCTTAATGACTGAGCCACCCAGGCACCCCAGAAGAATAAATTTTTTAAGCTTCCAAGCAGTAAATGCAAATTACCTACAAGAAGGAGAGGAGGAAAAATCAGTGTGGCCTTTGGCTTCTCCCCAGAAGTAGTTAATACTAGAAGAAAATAAAGCCTACAAAAATTTGAAGGAAAAACATTATGAACCATGAACCTGATCTCTAGCAAAAATGTATTCAGACAGAAATGCCACAGCCTTAGATATGGAAGAACTCAAGGAATAGAGCATATATAAGTTCTTCCTGAAAATCACTTGTTAATAAAATCCAGTCAACCAGAGACAAGTCAAAACAAACAACTCACACATGGAGAATTAGTGAAGCTGTGAGTCCATTTATATACAGAAGGAAAACTATACTAAGGAATTTATACTTTCAGAGCAAAGTGTAAATCTTATCTATCTTAACAATGTAAAATTAATAAAACTATGAAAATTATTGGGAGATTAGGGACAATTAAAAGAAATGGTAGTGCTAGTTTCCTCAAAACTGTCATAAAATGAGAGTGTAGTAAATATAATCATTCCAAACTCTTAATTTTTCATAATTTTTATAACCTTAGAAGAAATGATGAAAAATAATGCCTTTTGTGAGAAACATTTATTACAAATCAATAATTCCCTCAATTTTACTGCCATTTTATTTCCAGCTCTTAAAATGGAAATAAAATCGAGTTTAATACTTCTTATTCATAAGTATCATTTATAGTATAATTCCATTTTTTTAAAGTTACCTATTCCAGCAATCTGAACATTATTCTAGAGAGATGTCTGGGACAGTATTTACCATTAGGTATATGTATATGGTGGCTATTTCTGAGGGTGGAATTTTGAGTTGTTCTTGCTATATTGCTTCAATTCTTTAAAATGAAAACAAATTATTTTTATAATAATGATATGGTTACTATTCTTAATATAAAATAATATTAAAGAGAGCTAGGGAAATGCATTTATCCTAAAACTTGAAGATAAGGGAAAATCTCTGAAGGTTTTTGAGCTAAGAGGTAATACAATAATAGCCTACAGAAAGATTAATTTAAAGGCAGTGGGGGAAAAAGGCAAGCATACCAACCACAAATATTTAGGAGGGAGATTTAAAAAATAAAAAACCTGGTGGCAATTATCATAAAAAGAAAACCACGTGAGAGACTACAGAACTGTAGCATCTGCAGCTGAATATATCATGGGAAATGGGGGAAGAAGTCAAAAAGACCAGCTTATCTTTTTGCTATATACACAAGAATTACTCAAAACAACAATAAAAATAGTGAATCAAAGTAAATGATCAGAACTTTCCCAAGTCTAAGTCAATGGGAAATTAGTGATACCATTATCTGAAATACCTATTTCAGAAAAAGCAGATGGTCTGGGAGATAGAAGCTGTGAGCTGATGAGTTCCACTGAATATAATCATCAAGCAAAAGGTGACTGAATCCAAACATCAGTTGTGGCCACAAAACAAGTCTCAACAAATTTCAAAAGACTGAAGTCATGCCAGGCATCTTTTCCAACCTCAACACTATGAAACTAGAAATCAAACACAAGAAAAACATCTGGAAAGAACAGGAAAAACATGGAGGTTAAATAACTTGCTACTAAACAATGAATGGGTCAACCAAGAAATCAAAGAGAAAATTAAAAAATACATGGAGATCAGTGGAAAACACAACAGTCCAAAATCTTTGTGGTTTAACAAAAGCTCTTCTAAGAGGGAAGTTTATAAAAATACAAGCCTACCTAAGAAGCAAGAGAAAGCTCAAATAAACAACCTAAACTTACACCTAAAAGAGCTAGAAAAAGAACAACAAACAAAATAAAAAGTACAAGGAAAGAAACAATAAAGATTACAAGCAGAAATAAATTAAATAGAAACTAAGAAAACCATAGAACAGATCAGTGAAATCAGGAGCTGGTTGTTTGAAAACATCATCAAAATTGATAAACCTTTAGCCAGGCACATCAAAAAAAAAAAAAAAAAAGAATTCAAACGATATCAGAAATGAAAGAGAAGGAACTGACACAAAAGAAATACGAAGGATTATAAGAATATATCATGAAAAATTATATGCAAACAAATTGGACAACATAGAAGAAATGGATAAATTCCTAGAAACCTATAATCTGCCAAAAATGAATCAAGAAGAAATAGAAAATTTGAACAGACTGATTATAAGCAATGAAATTTAAACATTTAAAGAAGAGTTAATACCTATACTTCTCAAGCTATGAAGAAGCAGCAGAGGAGGAGGAGGAGGAGGAAGAGGAGGAGGAGGAGAAGTAGTAGTAGTAGTACTAGTAGTAGTAGTAGTAGTAGTAGTAGTAGTAGTAGTAGTAGAGTAAGAAAAGCTTCCAAATCCATTCTGAGGCCAACATTATCCTGATACCAAAACTGTATAAAGACACTACAAAAAAAGAGAACTGCAAGACAGTATCTCGATGAACACACATGCAAAAATCCTCAACAAAATATCAGCAAATCCAACAATACATTAAAAAATCATTCACCACAATCAAGTGCGATTTATTCCTGGGATGTAAGGGTGATTCAATATTCACAAATCAACTTGATACATCCATCAATAAGAGAAAGGATGAAAATCATATGATCATTTCAACAGATGAAAAAAAGCATTTGATAAAGTACAACATCCACTTAGGGTAAAAACTCTCAACATAGTAGGTTTATAGGGAATATACC